CACACACACACACACACAAATGTGCACTCACACACACACACACACACAACACATACACACTCAGGCACACACTCACACACACTCACACTCACACACACACAAACGTGCACTCACACACACACACACGTGCGCACGCACACACACACACACAGACACAGACACAAACGTGCACTCACACACACACACCAATGTCTCAAAAAGTCAGTTTCACCAACATGTTCTCAAGGGACAATCAATGTTTGACCAATAACTGCCAACTGCCATTTGGCCAATAAGATGACAAAATATCTGGCAACCTAACAATCATTGACTTAGGTTCAAGTTGTGCTTTTACCTGTTTTGTAGTGGAACATTGTGCTTGGTGATCTTTGTACAGCTGTAATCCATCCTGCACTCTTCACTGTCAGCTGCTTTGGAGTCTGGAATATGAAAGGTCTATTGGAACAGAAGGAAGGAAAAGTCAAAGGAAAAGCAATGTGGGAATTAAGCTTTGCATTTTGCAGTATTTCTCATGAATTAAGGATGTCCCAGAGCACATGGCAGCCAATGAAACTAATCTTTGTAATATAGTCAATGGTGTATTATGGGTAATGAATTTGTGCTCCGCCAAGTAACAATGAGATAAATCATCAGACAATCTAATATTGGGATGTTGGTTGAGAGAAAAATATTCAGCAGGACATTGGGGGAATCTCCCTTGCCTTTCTGCAGAATAGTATTTTATTATCTTTTATGCCCCCAGGAGTACTGTGCTGATGTGTCACTTTTAGCTGATGTGCCCAAGTAGTGAAGCTACAACTGCTGACTCAGAATCATGAACATTATTGCTGAGTCAGCAAACACATCAAAGTCTACTGCAAGGAGTAACAAAAAAACTTAACAAGACAGCCTATTTTAATATAATTGCGTACTTCCTTATTTTAGTTGGCAGAACTTAAATAGGTTTAAAAACTTATTTGTTATCTGCTATCAGAATGGGGAGGACCATGTGGACTGGCATTTACAAACATGATGTTCAAATATCATCTACCATTGCAAAGTAAAGTCACTGCAGTTCCAGAGGAAAAAAGGGCTGCCCTCTCATTAAAGAGACACGAAGGTCAATGGCTTTAATCTGTGGGTCACCATGCCTCAGATAAGGGGTGAAACTGGGGAGACTTCCATGATGACCTCAGTCGATACAGGAATTGAACCTACGCTGATGGTGCATTGCAATCCAGCCACTGAGCTAACTGTCCCCCGCGCACTCTAATTAGAACAGAGGTTCTCAAAATGTACTCTACAGATTACTGTTGATCTGCAAGTACCCAAAGTGCAAATCACTGGTGTGCAATGTCACGACTGAGGATGTTTGATATAGGCCAGAATCCTCATCACACAACTAGAAAGCCTCCCATGTGTGCAGATTAAATCATAGAATCCCTACAGTGTGGAAGCAGGCCATCTGGTCCATTGACTCCACACAAACCTTCCAGACAGTATCCCACCCAGACCCACACTATCCCTGTAATCCCGCATTTCCCCAACACAATGGATAATTTAGCATTGTCAATCCACTTAACCTGCACATCTTTGGATTGTGGGAGGAAACCACAGGAGGAAACCCAAGCAGACACAGGGAGAACGTACAAACTCTACATAGACAGTTCCCCAAGGGTGGAATTGAACCAGGGTCCTGAGCACTGTGAGCGCTAACCACTGAGCCACTGTGCCACTCCCAATCACCATAAGCATGAATGACATCAAAGTGATTTTTTTGATGAGATTTATGTTATAGTTGATTTAGTTTGATTGATATGGATGTAAGTAGGTAATATCAGTTTCTGCAAAGATTATTTTAATGACTTTATAACATAAATGAGAAAAGTTTCAAATAAACATGCTCTCTTGTAGTTATAGTGTTTATGTTGTGGAAACATCTACATTTTTGTTGCTGTATCAATTAATAATCAACTTACTGTAATTAATATTAGAAAATGAATGCACATAATTCATTACATTGAGCAGCAAAAACAGCAGTGAAATATTTATAGCTGTCTTAGATCGCTATTAATTCTGATTTTTTACATTGAGATGCAAAAGCAGGTGGGGTTACGACCTGTGTGTACATCTTCTCCCTTTCTTAAATGGCCTGGATGAAAAGACTTAAGAATCACCTGCAATTTGAACTAGCCTCTGGTTGCTGAGGAAGGAGATCTTAAATTTCACCAGCTGCCCTCATGGCATTTGAGCCCATAATCTTCTTGGCTCACAAGGAACATAGAAACAGGAGTTGGCCATTCAGCCCCTCGAGCTTGTTCGCCATTCAATGAGATCATGGTTGATCTGTGGCCTAACTCCATATACCTTCCAATGCCCCATATCCCTAAATACCTTTGCTTAACAAAGATTTATCTTTCTCGGATTTGAAATTAACAATTGATTCAGCACCCACTGCCATTTGTGTAAGCAAGTTCCAAATGTTGACCACCCTTTGTGTGTAAGATTGCTTCTTAATATCTCTCCTGAACAGTCTGGCCCTAATTCTCAAACTATGTCCCCCAGTTTTAGAATCACCAACCAGTGGAAATTGTTTATCTTTATCTTCCCTGGCGTTTTCCGTTAATGTCTGAAGACTTTGATCAAATCACCTCTTAATCTTCTAAATTCTAGAGAAAACAGACCTAACTTACATGATTATTTCTCATAATTTAACCCCTGAAGTTGAACATTGTGCTCCCTCCAAGGCCAATCTATCCTTCCTATGGTGCGGTGCTCAGATCTGCTCACAATACTCCAAGTGGGATGTAACCAGGGTTTTGTATAACTGCAGCATAACACCTGCATCATTGTACTCAGTCCTCTAGATATAAAGGGCAGCATAGCATTAGCTTGCTTGATTATTTCTAGCAGCTGTTCATGTCATTTTAAAGCTCTATGCACCTAGGGTGGCATGGTGGCTCGGTGGTTAGCGCTGCTACCGCACAGCACCAGGGACCCAGGTTCAATTCCAGCCTTGGGCGACTGTCTGTGTGGAGTTTGCAAATTCTCCCCGTGTCTGTGTTGGTTTCCTACCACAGTCCAAAGCCGTGCAGGTTAGGTGGATTGGCCATGCTAAACTGCCCATAGTGTTCAGGGTGTAGATTAGGTGGGTTATATGGGTCTGTGTGGGATGCTCCAAGGGTCAGTGTGGACTTGTTGGGCTGAAGGGCCTGTTTCCACACTGTGGGGATTCTATGAAGTCCTCATGTTTCTTTGGACATCCACTGTATTTAACTTCAGACCATCCAGAAAGTACCCTGTTCTAAACTTTTCCAGTCCAAAATGGATAGCCTCACAGTTGCTTACATTGGGTTTTGCGCATTCACCTAGAATACCAATATCCCTCTGTTGTTCTGTGCTATCACTGACAGTGTCTGAATGCTGCCTAATTTTGTGTCATCAGGAAATTTGGATAGCTGACTTTCTATGCCATTTATCCAAGTCATTAATAAATAATGCGAATAATTGAGGCCATAACGCAGATCCTTGTGGGGCTACTGGTCACATCCTGCCAATTTCAGTACCTACTCATTCTCCCTACTTTCTGTCACCTGCCACTCAACCAATTTCCCAGCCATTGTCAGTAATTTGCCTTTAACTCAGCAGGCATTTACTCCCCTTACATGGGACTTTCTCAAATGCCTTCTGGAAGTCCATATAAACAATACCCATAGACATTCCTCTGTCCCCTCATAATACTACAACCACACCATTATCTCAACTAGAACACCTCACCCCCTGCTTCCTGCAGGAACTCCATTCCATTCTCCCAGTTTCCCTGTCTCTATTCCATCTATTCTGATGATGCCACCTACCAATGAGGTGCTTCCAACATGTCTTCCATCTCCCCCTACCCAGCCCCCCAACCCCCTGACACCCCCTTCCCCCCATCCCTGCAGCCATGTCTTGTTTGTATCTTGTTAACTTTCCTCTCAGCAGAATGAATTTATTTTCAAAGGTAACATTTACCTCTATTTCTTATGCTCCTTCACCACCATTTAACACCACCTTTCTCTTTTGCTCTGGACACCCTCACCATTTGTTCCACTTACTCTTCCTCGCCCTCTGATCTCAGCTTAAAACATCAATTTCCAACCCCCTTCAGCTCTGTAGGACAGTCATATCCGACTCAAAATGTTAACTCTGTTTCTCTCTCCACAGATGCTGCCAGACCTGCTGAATTTCTCTAGCATTTTCTCTTTTTATCTCTGGTCACTAAGTTTGAGTACTCTCCTCTGAATTATATTGCAAGACCCTCCCAAAAAAATTACAGTTTTCATGGCAGTCGGGAGCCCTTTAAGAGCTGCAGTTCTGACTTCAGAGCCTTCCCAGCACATCACATACAGTGTTCTCAGAGTACCAACAATTTATATTAGTGATTTGTCCTTGAACTATAGGCCAGCTAAGCCTTTTGAAGCAGAGAAACAACAGATGTCCATCCAGTGCGATGGGTCCACAGTCCAGGCTTTCTTGCGTTTGAATCTTGCAGAAAACATAGGACATCATAAAACTGAGTAAACGAGATAAGCAAAGTAAGGGAATGACGAAGATAAATGAAGAAGGTGTCAAATTGAGAAGAGCAGCCGTTGGGAGATTTATCCATTGCTGATATCTCCATTTCAAACAGATTCTCAGACAGATGCAGACAATGGCAAAATGCTCAGTTGCTGACTGACATTCAGACTATACAACTGACATACGGGATGCAATGTGCCAAACACCACGAAATCGATATCCCTCCATGGAAAACTTTCTCCCAGTGTAAACTGAAACTTGTACTCCAGCCAGATGGCTCTCTGTACTCAGTGCTGAAAGCATTGTGCATTATTACAGGTTTTGAGAGATTCTAATAAGACATAGAATAATCATGACAATCACTTCCATATTCAATTCCAAGACCTAGACATAACATGCATATAAATTGCTGCTTGAGAGAGTAGAACTCTTATCTCATGACAAATATATGGCAGTATTTACACTGAGCTGACCAAAGCTTATCTAATGGCAACTACGTAACCATTGCTGATCGTCATTAAAAGCCCATCTGATTCACTAATGTCCATTAATGAAGGAAATCTGCCATTGTTACCTGGTCTGGCCTACATGTGACTCCAGATCCAAAGCAAGGTGTTCCACTCTTAAGTTAAGCGTTAACTCATCACTCTTAATGACGCCCAAGTAATGTGATAGGATAAAAATAATTCTATAACCTATGAGAGACAGAGATGAATCTATTTCCCAGATGTGGTTGTACCCACAATGGGACCAAAAGAGGTGTTGGTTATTAATTGTATATCGATCATCAATTAGGGGCCATTTTGCTTGATTGGATATAAATAGACACTGGCTGAAACTGAGGTAGGAAGTGTATTCTCGAAACATCTCAAAACGTATGTCTCCAATACTTTCCTTCACTAGAGATAGTAGGAACTGCAGATGCTGGAGAATCCGAGACAACAGAGTGCAGGGCCGGATGAACACAGCAGGCCAAGCAGCATCATAGGAGCAGAAAGGCTGAAGTTTCAGACCTAGACCCTTCATCCTTTTTCTGATGGAGTGTCTAGGCCCGAAACGTCAGCCTTTCTGCTCCTATGATGCTGCTTGGCCTGCTGTGTTCATCTAGCCCTGCACTTTCCTTCATTAACTGGCTTTCTGGACCAAAACATTGTGCTTCCCTTGAGTTTCCAGACATCATATCTAACAGATCAGTCAACCAGCATACATTAGGTTCCTGATATACTAGCTGTCAATGTCATAGATAGAGTTCAAAGGAGATTTAATTGAATGCTGCAAGGGATCAGGGATAGTTATGTGGAAAATTTGAAATGCTGGATTATGAGAGAAGATGCGATTTGATAGCGGCATTTAAAATTGTGATTTTGGTGGATTAAATGAGGATAGAATAATTCCAGTAGCAGAAAGGTCAGCAACCAGAAGACACAGATTTAAGGCGATTGGTATAAGAGCTTGAGATAACACAAGGAGACAAATTTATATAATGATTTGTGATATGAAAGGTGCCCATGAAATGGAGGTAGAAGCAGATTCAATAGTCACATCCTACAGAGAAATGGGTAAATTCTTGATGGAAAGTAACGAGAGGGTTACGGGGAAAGAGCTGCTTTAAATTAGATAACTCTTTTTGGAACAGACACAATGGGCCAAATGGTCTTCTTCCATGTTGCATTATTTTATAATTCTATGAAATGGATAGATCCTTCAAAGTTCTATTACCAGCCTCCGTCTGTGTTGTATGATGTTACCACTCCATGCCAGAGTTAGGAACTTTACCACTTGTCAGTGACCATGAACAAGAGAAGGCTTCTCACTTTCTCAGGTGCTTGCCATCCCCAACTCTATAACCATTAATTCACTGACCCCCATATGATCACTTTACACCAATAGGGTTACGTCTTCTTGCAACCACTGGCAACAATTGTGCTAGACTGCTCATTGTAGCGGGGGTGGGGCAGAGGTGATGGCAGTTTGTGTGACCCAACAAGCATTGAGTTCAATCCTCTGGAATTAAAATGTCAGTCATGATCCTTGTTATCTCCAGCACAGGCGTTACGAGTGGTATCCAAGTGGCTGCCTACAGGGCAAACCTTAATTCTTTGTCCTATTTCCCTACATCAGGGGAGTCTACAATTGGAGCCTGTAGCCTCGATCCCCTGGCACATGGCCTGAGGACCACAATTCTGTTTGTGTTTTTTTCCTATTATCTGTTTGTGTTTAAATTCTGATTTTGATTTCTGATTCCTGATTGTGCTTTCTGGACCTAGATGGATTGTTGTTAACGCCTATCTTAACAAAGAAGATAAGGTAGCACGAGATCTATTCACTTTAAATGGGAAATGGATTTCCACTTTATATGATTCAGGATGATGGCAGAGTAGGATTCCTGAGCCAGGGCTTGTCCACTCCAACTGCTTTTCTTTCTTCTATTTTTTTGTTTTTTTTCCCTCAGTTTTTTGGTTTGTTTTCTTTCACCTTACTTTCTGGACAGAGCTTGATTGTGGAGGCAGCAGTGATGGTAGCGGCTGTGGGCCAAGAATGAGTCTTTGGCAATGTGGTTGGTGCAAAGTTGGCTTTTCCGAGACCGGGATGCATGGAAATGGCCTGAGGGCTCGGTGTTGTACTGGATCGGGATTCTGGTGAGCTGCGGCGAGGCAGCTGGTGAGCCCAGATGGCAGTCGGCGGCCAGACAGCGTCGTGGAGGAATGCGTGCGTGGGGAGACCGATTCACACGGGGTGGGGGGGATGATCAAGCCCAGCGCACGTGAGAGATTGAGCCCTCATGGTGAACCCCAGCATAGAGTGTCTGTAGTGCCATGGCTACAGAAGGACTGTAATTCTTTGATTTTTCTATTTCATACTAAGAAGGACTGTAATGTTTAACTTGTCACTTATTTCTTTATTTATTTACTTTGTACCTAATATTTTGTACCTGGGTACCTTTGTAACCTAAGATGGCACCAGGAATAGCAACTTTGTAAACTTTTCCTGTATCACTGTACTTGAATACACATGACAATAAACTTATTTCTAATTCTAATTCTAATATGACTCTCCACTCCCAAGGTCCACATCTATCCACTCAACGTAGACATAAAGCTTGGAAAACAATCTCCAAAATACCAAGCTGTTCACTATTTTGAGTTATCTCAACCCCATTTCTTGAAATGCTATTGTTTCCCGAGGTACAACAGCTACCTATCCATCGCCTTAGTCCCAATCTCCAGAAGCCCCTTGACTGCTTCCTGAGCAGTGCGGCATTTTCCGTTTCTCTCATCAGCCATTCATGTGGGATCAGGTTGAACCATTGCCAACCCATTCCATGGGAGAACTGACCACCAGCAGAGAGAGACAACATTCACCTCAGCATTGTGGCCTGTGAGATAAGCCCCAGACATGAAAGACCAATGTATCTGCACACTGTAATGCTCAACCTCAAAAGCTAAGTAATTAAAATAATCTAAAGCAGCTACATTACAAAAATGTGAAAAATTAGATTGTACACTTACCACGAGCTGTTTTGGAATGACAGCGATGCTCACCCTCCTGCGAGCTGTACTCTAGTAAATAAGAACAGATCAGGGTTTAGTTTAAGTGCTATTTCAGAATGGAACCATCTACTGTAACACAGGGAACAATTCACTATTACCATTCTGCATAATTCTAAGCATTGTAAGGGACAGCTTTTACCTGCCTTGACTTGTTAATACACTACAATGTAGAAATTCCCACCCACAGAATCATATCAAGATCCACAAAGCCTGCCTGAAATATATCTGACTTCCCCCCAGCTGGAATAGAAAGTTAAGGAATATAGACCTGAACCAACCCCAAGGGACCTTTACTGATTTAGAGTAGGTCCTTGATGGTACACATTGATAATGGACTTCATTACATTACAACAGAGGTTCCAGTAGTGTGTCATGCTTCAAGTCACCTGAGGGAAGATGGAGTGTGAGACCTTTATACCCTCATATTACTACATGCTATGATACAGTGATGTTGTCCTGAACAAAGGCAGGCGGACGGACTGACCATGAGACATAACAATACCGTGGATGTATCAAAATCCTGTACGTCCCTGTACAACAGCACAGTGGGACTATATCTGTACAATATAGACTGTAATGAGTCAAAAAGATAGCTCACCACCTCCTTCTCAAGGGAAACTAGGCATGGCAGGAAATGTTATCATTGCATTGATGCCCAGATATCAAGAACTAATTTGCAACAAACTCAGATATTGCATTTTTGGAAACCAGTTTTTGATTACATTCTTTTGCTGATATCATTGGAGATGGTTCAGTGAGGTTCAGGTTAACGTTCAGGAAGCAGTGAATCAAAGTGGGCACCACAGAACTGACATTTTACTCCCACCAGTCTGTGCGACCCACACAACCTGCCAGCTTTAACTACGTTGAGATCCCTGATGCAAACGGATACCCTAAGGCGTTGAGAGAGAGGGAGAATGTTGGAAATGAGTTTCTTCCACCACTGAGCACTGACCAGAGATGTAGGGTTAAATTGCTGCCATTCTGCAAGCTCAGAGTTGGATATCCTGCAGCATCACCATCACACATTGTCCTGGCTAGTCCTACACTGAGAGAGAACAGTTTTGTACAGAAATTACAGACTGTTCTGTGGCATGTTGCAATTTACATTGAATACAAAACTATGCTCAATGATAGCATTGTAAAGACTGACATAATTTACTTTTTATTTAAATATTTATAAACATTCTTGCATAAATGTATTTTCCAGAGATTTGTTTCTCCTTAGCAGCTGAGGGCTTTTAGCTTCTTTTAGCATCTTGCAGGAAATGGCCAGGCAGAATGTGGAGGTGCAGAGTTTTGTGGACGGTAAGAGCAGGGAGATGAAATTTGATCTCGACACTCTGGATTATATACAGATCTAATGTTCAAAGGTGTCAGCGTAGCCTTCAGGCTTGGGCTGGTAAATAGCAAGTAACATTCAAACCACACAAGTGCCACGCAATAACTGTGTACAATGAAAGGATGGCATGGAAGCTCAGTGGTTAGCACTGCTGCCTCACAGCATCGGGGAACTGGGTTTGATTCCACTCTCGGGTGTGTGTCTGTGTGGAGTTTGTACATTCTCCCCGCGTTTGCATGGGTTTGCTCTGGTTTTCTCCCACAGTCCAAAGATGTGCAAGATAGGTGAATTAGCCATCAGAAATGCAGGGTTACAGAGATGGGGGAGGGGATTTGGTTGGGACGCCCTTCAGGGGGTCAGTATGGGTTGAATGGCCTACTTCCATATTGTCAGGATTCTACGTAGAGAGAATCTAACCAGCTCCAGGCGTTATCATTACAGCATCACTCTTAATCAACATCCTGTGTTCACTACTCACAAGAAACTTTACTGGACCAGCTATATAAATTCTGTGGCTACAAGAACAGCTCAGAGGCTGTGGATTCCGCAGCAAGTAACTCACCTCCTGATTTCAAAAACCTAGCAGGCGTAAGCCAATATTGTAGTGGAATGCCTAGATGAAAACAGCTCCAACAACAGTCAAGAAGTTATATTTTACCCAGAACAAAGCTGCCAACTGATCAACATTCACTTTCTGGTCCCCAGTAATTGCAATGTGTACCATTTGCAAGATGCAATACAGCAACTCACCAAGACTCCTTTGACAGACTCCTTTTATCACCCAAAACGAAAAGCGAAGTGAACACCAGGGAATATTAATGCCATAACGCCACCAAACCATGCACCACCCTGACGTGGAACTATCTCACTGTTCCTTCACTCTTCCTGTTTCTAATTCTTGGACCTCCCTTTCTAACAGCACCATGTGTATACCTGTAACAAATGGACATCAGCAATTAAAGAAGGTGGCTCGCCCCTTTCTCAAAGGAATGTAGGGATGGCGAACAAACGCTGACTGATTGCCACATCCCATCGAAAGAATTAAAAATGAAGAAACTCCAATGTAGGTGTCAACCAGGTGACGTAAACAGGAAACCCGATAGAGGTGGATGACATAATGGTACTGCATAAGCTGCGACACACTTTGCAATGTAATAACTTGGGAAAATCCTCTAAATGTCATTTCAGTGAAGTCATCAACTCATTGGATGAAAAGTTTATTAGAATCACGCAACAGTATACCAACCCAAAACAGTCTTATATGAACTAGGAGGAACAAAGGAAGATCAAATTTATCATTAACCATTGATATCATTATGAGAAATGTGATTATTTCCCCAAAAATGTACCATATTTGAGTTATCTATATGTTAATGAGGCCACTGTGTTGATTTACCTGATGCATAGCTCTCATCATTTGATGCTTAGTCTGAAAGTTGGCATCATCTGTAAGAGAGTATATTGCAATGTTTAAAAGCCTTGATGTTTTCAATTTCTCTGTGTTACTGAAGAATAAGCTTGATCCAAAATGTTGCTGCTATGCAGGAGTGCTTTACCTAAGTTAATAGTTTTGAAGGGGTTAATGTTCATGTTATATTGACTCCATTATTTCTACTGATGTTACATACAGTCTGTGGGTGAAGACAAAATATTCCGCTCTCACTTTCAAAGGGAGCAGATGTATTTGTACCAGCTCCCTAATGTCCCAGTAATTATGCTTGTCCAATTGTATCTGAACTTATTGCTATCATTCAACAAGTCTTCATGTTAGTCACTAAAGTCAGAGCCTCCTCTGTAGTTACTCTATACTGGTGTATTCCTACTACTTATCATGAGATAGGCCCAAAATAAAACAAACACAATCAGAACTGATGCCATGAATTATCTCAAAACAACCCTTACCTAGTAACACACAGTGATAGAGGTGGCAAAGACCACAAGGTGCCAGGAATGCCATCTGAGAAGGTACTACCAGGATTTGAGCTGATAGAATATCATAGGTTTGCTGTCATGATATTGGATGAGCAGCCCATCTTCCAGAAGCCAACTGCATCTTAAACATGGACTGGCATCAGGTGAGACTTTCAGAGTAATGGGTAATTGTTGATCTGTTATTAGGAAAGGTACCTGTCCACATCAGCCTCCAGGTCTGTGGTTTTTGCTTGGTCAATCATGCCATCGAGTTATTAACTTCATTACTCATGTGAGCAGACAATTGTAAGAGAAAAAAGTCCAAATATGTGACCAAGATAGCATCACCTACCATTGAGAACAACTTTGACTAAAAGGAAACTAATTTGACCTTCCATCCCCATCCCAGTCTTTATTACCCATTCCATTTAAGTATTGGTCCCAGGGCCCCCTTATGGTTTATTTACTCAGACCCTCCACTTTCTTGTACAGTTTGTATCACACTGTCCTCCTGGCCAGTCCACTGTCCACCAACCCGATATTGCAGCAAACATAACCCAGTTAGATTTCATCAGGTAGCCATGGTTATTTCCTGTGGAATTATTGCTGCCAGGCTGGATAGTATGAGCCTCTAGAATCTCAATGACTCTGCACAGGACCATTGCTAGAGATAAGACTAGACAATTAAATTGGCAGAATCTTCCCTGAGAGTCTACACATCCAGGAACTGAGGACTGCAGAATAAGGCAGGAAGGTGAGAGAAGCAAACGCAATGAGGTGCTGTCCCTCCATCAAGGGGACTATGGGAACATTAATCCCGCCTTCTTACATCATGCCATTATCTTCCCCATGGTGATCCTGGCCATGATCAAGGTACAGCGTGATGAAAATTAGGTGGTTCGATCTGTCTCGTCTCATGCCATTGCTATTTGCACGTGGAGGGTGTGGAAGGTATCACTCATGGGGGAAGGGCCTCAAGGCTGCACTGGCCAATATCCTATTGTTACACAACACCATTCCTATCCGATATCAGAAGAGAGAGGGTCACAACGGAGAATTCAGCTCAATAGGTTACACGGTCTATGTACATTCCTCCTTCAAACTTTGAAACATAGAATAGAATCCCTACAGTGTGGAGAGATAGTAGGAACTGCAGAAGAAGGGTCTAGGCCTGAAACTTCAGCTTTCCTGCTCCTCTGATGCTGCTTGGCCTGCTGCATTCATCCAGCTCTACACCTTGTTATCCCTATAATGTGGAAGCAGGTCATTCAGCCCACTGAGTCCACACAGACCCTCTGAAGAGCATCCCACCCAGACCCATCCTATCCCTGCATTTCCCAAGGCTAATCCACCTAGCCTGCACATCCCTGGACACTACGGGCAATTTAATACAGCCAATCCACCTAACCTGCACATCTTTGGACTGTGGGAGCAAACAAGAGCACCTGGAGGAAACCCACACAGACACAGGGAGAACGAGCAAACTCCATACAGACAGTCACCCGAGGCTGGAATCGAACCCAGGTCCCCAGCACTGTGAGGCAGCAGTGCTAACTGCTGACTCACAATGAATGCGTCCTCTGGTTTAAAAGACGACATTAGAATTTGAACTAGAACTAGAACTAGAAATAGAACTAGAACTAGAACTAGAACTAGAACTAGAACTAGAACTAGAACTAGATCTAGATTTTATTGTCACATGTACTCAAGTACAGGGACACAGGAGTACACGGCACCAGCTTAGATACAAGGTACCTAGACACAAAATCTTAGGTGAAGAGTAGAAAAATACAGAAATGAAGTTAGAAGTTCCAAATTACAGTCGTTTCTATTGGATGGTGCTGGATGAGAGAGACAGTCCTTACCTCTCATGTCTCCAAACTGTCGGCTCCTGGAGTTCTGCTGAATGATTTTCTTCATTTCCTGCAGTTCTGCATGTTCTTTGGCGTGTATGCTTTTCAGATTGGCCACATGTTCCATCATCACCTGCACACCCCCACTTACCCGGGCTTCCTGCAAAGGCACATCACACACATAATCCCCCTAAGCTTCCAATCGGGAATGTGACAGAGTGAGTATATGTTGGAGGCTCAAGGCTGTAATGTTGTGGCCACATCTTTGATCCAGGCTCTATATGAAGGCAGAGATAGTAGGAACTGCCGGTGCTGGAGGATTTGAGATAACAAGGTGTAGAGCTGGATGAACACAGCAGGCCAAGCAGCATCAGAGGAGCAGGAAAGCTGACATTTCGGGTCTGGACCCTTCTTCCAGCTCTATACCTTGTTATCTCTATATGAAGGCAGCTTCCCTAGGGAAAGTGTAGTATTTTTCAAGATGTGTACCATTATTCTTCTTCCAAATTCTAATTATTACACTAATTCTAATTATTATAGCACATGCTGAAACAATATGTTCTAAAGCACTAAACATTCATATCAGGAAGGGATATCGAATTGTCATGAAATAGAGAAACCATGGTCAACCTCAGAGACAATGTTCCCAACCCCCTACCTCCAGAGAGTTCAGTATTGGGCTTTGGTCCATCTTAACTCCCCACCTCAGTTGCATTGAGCTGTCTCCAACCCAAAGCCTTTGGGATGTCATGCACACTTTGGTGGAGATTTCTGTTCTCATGATCTACTGTTAATCAGCCAGGGCATTTATTTCTGAAGCAGCAACTAAAGGTCGGAATCCTGCAGAGGGGCTGTGCAACAATTTAAAAAAAAACACAATGTCACGCAGTAGATGGTCTGTAAGTAAGTGGTCTAAAATTGACAGGTCTACAAATGGGAGCCTGGTACTAGCATTGACAATAGTACAGGATGCAAATGATAGTCTGGCATATAAACTGATGGAGATGAATGCTGCAAAGACAGGAACTGAAGTTTGACCAAGCTGTTAACAAGATTCCTGAGACTGGCAATGGTACATGTCCATTAATAGGAGCCTACTGCCAATGGGGAGGCAATGGCCTAGTGGTATTATCGCTGGACTGTAAATCCAGAAACCCAGATAATGTTCTGGGGACGCAGTTTGAATCCTGCCACGGCAGATGGTGGAATTTGAATTCAATAAAAATATCTGGAATTAAGTGTGTGATGAATACTACAACTCCATTGCTGATTGTCAGGAAAAAAACCCATCTGGTTCATTAATGTCCATTAGGAAAGGAAACTGCCATCCTTACCTGGTCTGGCCTACATGTGACTCCAGACCCAGAGAAATGCGATTGACTCTTAACTGCCCTCTGGACAATTAGGGATGGGTAATAAATGCGACCTGGCCAGCAACGCATTCATCACCGTGAATGAATTAAAGTTGCGGGGGTGGAGGACAATATTGATTGTTTTAATAATGTGGCTCCAAGCAGCTGCAGATTATGATATATATTATCATATTACAATATATACCTAAGACATTGTTGAGACCACACTTGGAATATTGTGTCCAGTTTTGATCTCCTTATTTGAGAAAGGATGTGGTGGCACTGGAGACAATTCAGAGGAGCTTCATCAGGTTGATTCCAGGGATGAAAGGGCTGAGTTCAAGGAGCAGTTGAACAGCTTGAGCTTGTACTCACTGGAGTTCAGAAGAATGGAGGGGGGATCTGATTGAAGTATATAAAATGCCAAAGGGAATTGACAAGGTGGACATTGAAAAGATGTTCCCCCTTTGTGGGACAGTCTCAAACCATGGCCCATAGATATAGAGTGAGAGGAGGTAGGTTCACAACTGAGATGAGGAGAAACTACTTCTCTCAGAGAGTTGCGAATCTGTGGAACTCACTGCCCCAGAGTGCAGTGGAGGGAGAATCAAATCAACAGATTCAAGAAAGAAATAGATACATTTCTGATGAAAAGCAGGATAAAGGGCCAATGGGAGTGGGCAGGAGAGTGGAGTTGAGACCAAGATAAGATCAGCCATGACTATGTTAAATGGTGGAGCAGGCTCAAAGGGTTGGATTACCTATCCTACTCCTAATTCCTGTGCTCCTGCCTTTGTTCCTATATCTTAATACTTGAATATTGCACAAAAATTAAACACACAGATTGATGATGAGTTATAACTCCTGCAGAAACCTCAGTGAAACAGGGCACCCTCTGGTGTAATGACTGATCTACGCACACCTACCTGGTGTACTGCACCCAGTATCTCAGAGCTGTTGGTCACTTGTGTGATGGAAGCTTCCAGAACCTGAAGGTTGTACTCGAACTGTTTTAGAGTCTCCTGTCTCTGCCTGTCCGAACAAGCTGCTTTCAGTTTCTGTGTAGAATCAGCCATGACCATTAAGTTCGGAACATCACAGCAAACACTCCAGCACCTGGCTCCATTCCCCTCTGTCACTGGATGAGTCCTCCACAATGCAGGCTAATGTACTGGGGACATGAGTTCAAACCCCACCAGGGCAGATGGTGAAATTTGAATTCAATTCTTAAAAATTTGAATTAAAAGCTAGCCCAATGGAGACAATCATTGATGATTGTCATAAAAACCTGTCTGGTTTACTAACATCATTTGGGGATGGAAATCTGCCATTCTTACTTTCTCTGGCCTACATATGACTTCAGAACCATAGCAATTTTGTTGACTCTTAACTGAAATAGCCTGGCAAAGCATTCGCTTCCAAGGCAACAAGGAATAGGTATTAGAGATAACAAGGTGTAGAGCTGGATGAACACAGCAGGCCAAGCAGCATCAGAGAAGCAGGAAAGCTGATTTCGGGTCTGGACCCTTCTGGTATTAATGCTAGCCTACCTAATAACTCCCACATCCCACGAATTAATAAAAATAACTACTTCATAACCTTTGTCCTGTTCAATGGTTCAATTGCTCTGTATTTGATTGTTCTAGCTGTTAACTGATCTCTGCTTACTGTTTATGTCTCAGGGATAAGTAAGGAGACATCATGGAAGCTCCTAGAAATTGAGCTGGGAGGATGTTGCAGATGTTTACTTTATAAACTCTACAAAGTTCATGCACACTTAACAACTAGAGTGACCTCTGTATAAATAAGAGACATGAAGTATACAGCAATTTCAGGTCCTGCCTATATTTCTCCTCCATCTGCAATGTTATTTTGCATCCCTCCTGAATGAGGGTCCAATCTCCAGCATCGACAATATTGCTGTCAACTCTCCATGTCTCAATTACCTGCAGTATTATTCTGCATCCTTCCAGCTCCTTCTGGATGTTTTCCTCAGCCACATCCCGGGCTCGTTCTTCCACGTCAAGCCTTTGCTTCAACGTGAACATGTCAGATTTGAAAGCGAGAGACAGGTGGACGAATGCAGTCTGGGTCGGGGGGAGATAAAGAGAGAGAAGTCTGCAGTGTCAGAAAAAGGAATCTGAACTAAGTGGCCACTCAGCCTGCATTCGGCTTCAAATTCCTACTGTCACAGGGCTGGTCACATGGGCAGTACTCCCAGCATCGAGCACAATTCCTTCATGTGCCGTGGGAGAGGCTCCAAGTCCAGAGAGTTTCAGCACAGTGAAACAGCACTGAGTCAATGGACTATGGAAAGAAAGATCCTGTCTTTAAACAGTCTCTTTCACAACTTCAGGCTCTCCCTTTGCAGTCAGTGAAATCCTTTTCTGAAGAACAATTGCCATTGTAATATGGAAAACATGACAAGCAATTTGAGCATGGCAAGATCCCAGCAAGCAATATGATAATGACCATTATTGTTAGCTATCTGTAGCTGAGGGGTTAATACTGGCTGTGAAAGCTTTCCTACTCTTTTGTGAACAGTACCATGGGATCCTAAAGCTCAACCGTAGAGGATAGGTGGGGCCTCGATTTCACATTCCTTATTGGTTGGTAATTCATGTCAAAGGTTGGCCGTGATTTCCTCCCCAATTTATTTACCATTTTACTGCATAAATGACTATTTTTAACCTTAGTCATCGCAACATCAACAACTTGCATTTGTATCCTACGTTAAGCTCAAAAACAACATAATCTCAGAAAATCATAAATAGAAATGGTTGGGAGAATGGGAAAAGAGCTAGACGATAAGGTAGATACAGGTGGCCATAATGAATGTGTTTTGAGAAGGTAGAGGAGCATTGGGCAGGGTATCCACCAGAGTTTGGAAGAATGAGAAACGATCTCCAGAGGTCACAGAGTTGTAGGGCCATACAGCACAGAAACAGACCTTTCAGTCCAACTCGTCTGTGCCGACCAAGTTTCCCAAACTAAACTAGTCCCATTTGGCTGAGTTGGCCCATATCCTTCTAAAATCATTGAAACATGCAAGATCCTGAGAGGTCTCGACAGGGTGACTGCTGAGAGAATGTCTCTTCTGTGGGACAGACAAGAATTGGAAATCACAGTTAAATATCCCAATTGACGGCAGAGATCATGGAGTCATAAGAGTCATAGACTTGCACAGCACAGAAGCAGACTCTTTGGTCTGACTCGTCCATGCTGACCAGATATAAGGTGCCTTTACTCCACTGCCACAGCAGGAGCAATTGGCCTGAGCACCTGTTAGGCTGGAGTGAGGAGTGTGGAAAGGAATTCCCATGCACCCGTGGTCACTTACCACTGATACCAGTTAGTAGGTACATGTGGAGATGATTAGCATGCAGGATTAAGTGCTGTTGTTTTATCGTTCACTGTTGAACATTGACAGAAAACAAAAGGATGCTGAACTTACCTCGACTTCTTTCTCAGTGTAGAACTCCCTGCAAAATAAAAATATGGATCGTTTATTAGAATGGCACATTTGCCTGCCTCTGCGGTGTTTAATTTCCAACAAAAATGCTTTCCAATGTAACTTCTGTGTTAAATTCCAGGAGGAAGAAACTGCAGGCTATTATATTTAATTGTACAGAATGACTCTCGTCTGTGCATCAGCTTCTGTAACTTGTTTTTTTGAAGGCACTGGCTTCCAGCACAAAGTGAAATTTTGTAAAATGATGGTAGCAAATTTAATATGAACAATCATAACAACTTTAAAACTAAATCATACTTTATGCCAGGATTTGACCATCACGATAGCGCGGTGTAGAGACACAGTAGCCACCAAGCAACAGTCTCCATGAGGGGGTGGGGATTCATTACACCCACTAATGAAAAAAAAGCCAAATCTTCAGCCTGCAATTTTTGTCAATGCTACAACCTTCAGGGCTGATCATTGACTCAATGTGATCAATGAAAGAAATAGAACAAGAGCCCATCATAGATAATTACATTGTGTGGAGCTGGAGGAACACAGCAGGCCAGGCAGCATCAGAGGAACAGTAAAGCTGACGTTTCAG